AAGGGTTATTGATGAAGGGTTATGTAGTATTACCTACCTTATCCCTCACCCCGCCGGCTCCTCCACTCCACGTGACCAGTGAAGCCGCTTCTCTCTGGCACTCTGTAGGACCGGCAGTCCTGCTTTGCGAGGACACAGATGGCTCGGAGTGTCGGAGGTAAGAGGGGAGCGCCCCCTGCTGGGGGAACGAGGGATAAGGTAAGTAAAGCCGCTTTTTAATTGCACCCCTCGCATCTAAATCCACGGGGAGCCGCAACTGCAAGGGTAGTTATTCATTTTTCCCGGTGAGCCAAAACCTTTTACTGTTCCGGATGGCGGGGGCAAGGGTTCGAACCCCTGCCAAGTTTTTACTGCTACCTGGGGTTCCTTTACAGAGATGACCATACAGGAAGTGAAGTAAAATCTCCAACAGAGACACAGGAAGTGATAAAAAATCTGACCCGGGGCTCTCGCCTCACCCTACTCTACTGAAGGAAAGCATTGACATTTACATTCCGCTCTGTGTTGATGCTGCAGATTTCCCCTCACTTCCTGTCTGATAAAACATGGTCAGCAGGACAGGAAGTGAGGGGGAAATCTCTGGATATCAGTAAAAACATCGCAGAGGTAACAGCCCTCCCCCACACCGATCCCCGGTGCTCCCCTCTATGCGGCTCCAGTTTGGGGGTGCCGGCCGTACCTGGGTGAGGAAGGTGGTGAAGAGTTTATCATGAGAGAGGACGGGATGAGCCGCCACGCGCAGCAGGAAGTTCTCCAGGCCGATCCGTCTCCTCTCCACAAAGTCCGGATCCATGTTATCGGCGGACAGCTTGTGCCACACAAATTCTGCCTGTGCCGAGAGAAAGAGGAGAGGCAGAGGACGGGGCGCACAGCCCCAACCCCCCCCCCCATAGCACAATGCACATGAACAGAACCGGGAACGCGCTCCCTGCGCACGCCGAGACTCAGGGGGCCGATCATCATAATATACTCATCCAATAAAAACTGACTGCACACGGCGGCAAAGACCGGGACCAATCACAGGTCTGTTCTCTCTTCTGGTTGAATGTTCCTCATATATTACGGGCGGCACCGACCCGGGAAATTCCGCATTGCGGCCACTAGATGGCGCTGAGGATCATAGAGGAGAAATCCTTCAAGAGATACAATGTAACCATTCCAGGAAACTGGAGGAAATGTCACCACCGATACCAATACTAGGGATCCACCGATACCAATACTGGGGATCCACCGATACCAATACTAGGGATCCACCGATACCAATACTAGGGATCCACCGATACCAATACTGGGGATCCACCGATACCAATACTAGGGATCCACCGATACCAATACTAGGGATCCACCGATACCAATACTAGGGATCCACCGATACCAATACTAGTTATCGGTATTGGTGCTGATACCGAGTATTTGGACGGGTACTTGTACTCACCCAAATGCTCCGATGCCTAGCCCGATACCAGAACTTCCAGTATCAGAAAGGTGTGTGGCAAGTCATTACGCACCGCCTGGCTTCCTGATTGGCCGTGAAGCCGGCTCCATGCTACCTCGTCACCATGGAGCTAGCTTCTCGGCCAATCAGGAAGCCCGGGGGGCGGGTAATGACTCACCACATGGCTTCCTGATTGGCCGAGAAGCTAGCTCCATGGTGACGAGGGAGCATGGAACCGGCTTCCCGGCCAATCAGGAAGCCCGGGGGGCGGGTAATGACTCACCACATGGCTTCCTGATTGGCCGAGAAGCTAGCTCCATGGTGACGAGGGAGCATGGAACCGGCTTCCCGGCCAATCAGGAAGCCCGGGGGGCGGGTAATGACTCACCACATGGCTTCCTGATTGGCCGAGAAGCTAGCTCCATGGTGACGAGGGAGCATGGAACCGGCTTCCCGGCCAATCAGGAAGCCGTGGGTGGCGAGTCATTACACGCCGCCCGGCTTCCTTAAAGGGACCTCCGGTATTGGTATCGGCAAGTACTGCAAAAAAAAAATATTGGTACTTGTACTCGATACCGAAAAACGGGTATCGGCGAATCCCGAATTGCTACGATGTGGATCTGGTGACTTTCATTTGCCGAATCCCTCCGGGGACCGCCCACTGACACTCATCTGTAACATACGAGGACCAAGAATCTTTGCTGGAGATCTGGGAGGACGTAGAGCAGAGTGCGGGGGAGGGGGGCATTCCGAGTGTTCCGTGTTACCATGTGGTCACACCTATCACCTCATATGATACATGTATGTAGGCGGATCAGACGGTCAGCGTTTTGGCACAATGCAGGGGAGGCAGAACCGGCTGCACTCGGCTCATCCATACCGCGGGGATCACATGGTGTCCAATCAGAGAAGACGATTATTATAAAACAAAGTATCTCCTCCGATGGCAGAACGTGCCGCGCTCTGACGGACACACGTACCCTTTTCTCCGGCAGCGGAGGGACCACCACGAAGGGATAGGCGACGGTCAGGTGGTTCCGCAGCAGCTCGAACTCGCTGTACCGCCTCCAGAGGGACTCCAGTGAATTCTGCCCATCGGGGGGACTCTCCAGGGACCTGAAACAAACATTCCCAGTTACAGGACAACCAACACGGCCAAAACCCGGCACCCAGAGGGGGGAACATGGTGCCGGGACCAATGACATCTCAGCCAAAGGTGCCGCCAGACTCAGCATTGTGTGCCGATGTCCTAATGGGGTCATTGTATGCTATGTACATGGGGGGAGGGGCACCAAATCACCACCCGTGCTGCTACCGGGCGTTCCGACAGGGGAGAAGAAATGTCCCGGCCCGTGGCTCCCATTCTATGCTGCGCTGGAAGTGACAACGCAGGACTGGAATCCCTCCGACACAGACAACGCACCACCAGGAGGATCGGGGAGTGCCGGACGGTGCGTGTCCCCCCCCCCC